CTCCTTCATCTGCTGTGTGTTTCTCTGTCTTCTCATTTTGCTTAACTGTATTTGGAGTCTCCTTTTCGCAGGCTGCAGGTTCGTAGTTCCCATTGTTTTTGGTGTCCTCCTCCAGTGTCTAAGGTTGGTTCAGTGGGTTGTGTAGGCTTCCTGGAGGAAGAGACTAGTGCCTGTGTTCTGGTGGATGAGGCTGGATCTTCTCTTTCTGGTGGGCAGGTCCACATCTGGTGGTGTGTTTTGGGGTGTCTGTGACCTTATTATGATTTTAGGCAGCCTCTCTGTTAATGGGTAGGGCTGTGTTCCTGTCTTGCTAGTTTTTTGGGATAGGGTGTCCAGCACTGTAGCTTACTGGTCATTGAGTGGAGCTAGGTCTTGCCATTGAGATGGAGATCTCTGGGAGATTTTTGCCATTTGATATTACGTGGAGCTGGGAGGTCTCTGGTGGACCAATATGTTGAACTTGGCTCTCCCACCTCAGAGGCACATCCCTGATGCCTGGCTGTAGCACCAAGATCCTGTCATCCACACGGCTCAGATTAAAAGGGAGAAAAAAAGAAAGAAAGATGATGAAATGAAATGAAATAAAATAAAATGAAATAAAATAAAATGAAATAAAATAAAATAAATTTATTAAAATAAAAAATAATTATCAAAAAAGATTTAAAAAGTAATAAAAAAAGGAAAGAAGGGAGCAACCAAACCGAAAAGCAAATCCAACAATGATAACAAGTGCTAAAAACTATACTTAAAAAAAAAAAGACAGACAGAACCCTAGGACAAATGGTAAAAAGAAAGCTATACAGACAAAATCACACACAGAAGTATATGCATACACACTCACATACACACACACACACACAAAATATATATATATACATATATATATATATATGTGTGTATATATATATGTATATATATATATATATATATCGCTGCTTCCAAAGTCCACCTCCTCAATTTGGGATGATTCGTTGTCTATTCAGGTATTCCACAGATGCAGGGTTCATCAAGTTGATTGTGGAGATTTAATCCGCTGCTCCTAGGCTGCTGGGAAAAATTTCCCTTTCTCTTCTTTGTTCGTACTGCTCCTGTGGTTCAGCTTTGGATTTGGCCCCACCTCTGCGTGTAGGTCACCTGAGGGTGCCTGTTCCCTGCTCAGACAGGACAGGGTTAAAGGAGCAGCTGATTTGAGGTCTCTGGCTCACTCAGGCTGTGGGGAGGGAGGCGTGTGGAATGTGGGGAAGCCTGCGGTGGCAGAGGCCAACATGACATCGCACCAGCCTGAGACGTGTCGTATGTTCTCCCAGGGAAGCTGTCCCTTGATCACAGGACCCTGGCAGTAGCTTGCTGCACAGGTGTGCTTGCACACAGGCTTCTTGGGGGCTGCAGCAGCAGCCTTAGCATCTCATCCCTGTCTCTGTGTTCCGTACTTTTAGCCGCGGCTCACGCCCGTCTCTGGAGCTCCTTTAAACGGCGCTCTTAATTCCCCCTCCTTGTGTACCAGGAAACCAAGAGGCAAGAAAAAGTCTCTTGCCTCTTAGGCAGGTCCAGACCTTTTCCAGGACTCCCTCCTGGCTAGCCATGGCACACTAGCCCCCTTCAGGCTGTGTTCACACAGCCAACCCCAGTCCTCTCCCTGGGATCCGACTGAAGCCGGAGCCTCAGCTCCCAACTCCCACCCATCCCAGGTTGAGCAGACAAGCTTCTTGGGCTGGTGAGTGCTGGCTGGCACCAATCCTCTGTGCGGGAATCTCTCTGCTTTTCCCTGTTGCTGTGCTCTCCTCCATGGCTCCAAAGCTTCCCCCCTCCACCACCCACAGTCTCTGCCCACAAAGGGGCTTCTAGTGTGTGGAAACCTTTCCTCCTTCAGAGCTCCCTCCCACTGTGCAGGTCCCATCCCTATTCTTTTGTCTCTGTTTCTTCTTTTTTCTTTTGCCCTACCCAGGTACGTGGGGAGTTTCTTGCCTTTTGGGAGGTCTGAGGTCTTCTGCCAGCATTCAGTAGGTGTTCTGTAGGGGTTGTTCCACATGTAGATGTATTTCTGATGTATTTGTGGGGAGGAACGTGATCTCCACGTCTTACTTTTCCACCATCTTGAAGCTCCTCTCTACTGTCATTTTAATAGCATTAAGGGAACAAGACTGTTTGTTCAGTCTATCATAGAGAAGTATCTTTATATCACTTATCACTATGTGAAAATATTTACTTTAGTTTATCTTCTCAGCTACTCCACCCTATCCCCCCCCCCACACACACACACACACACACACACACACACACACACACACACACACACACAGCAGAATCCTGTCTTTTCCACTACCCTTAACACAACATCTAGCACACAGTAGATGCTAATAGAAAACTGTTTAAAATCATAGGAGAGTCTTGGCAACAATTTTTGGGATATGCCACCTAAAGCAAAAGCAAAAAAATCAAAAATAAACAAGTATGACTATATCAAACATACAAGCTTCTGCACAACCAAGGAAATGATCAACAAAGTGAAAATGCAACCAGTGCAATGGGAGAAAATATTTGCAGATCATATATCTGATAAGAGGTTAATATCCAAAATACTGTATGTAAAGAATTCATATAATTCAATAGCAAAAAAAACCCCAAATAATCCAATTTAAAAATGGGAAAAGGATTTTCCAAATAAGACATTCAAATGATCAATAGGTACATGAAAAGGTGTTCAACCTCACAAATCATTAGGGAAATACAAATCAAGACCACAAGGAGGGGGATTCCCTGGCGGCGCAGTGGTTGAGAGTCCGCCTGCCGATGCAGGGGACACGGGTTCGTGCCCCGGTCTGGGAAGGTCCCACATGCCGCGGAGTGGCTGGGCCCATGAGCTATGGCCACTGAGCCTGCGTGTCTGGAGCCTGTGCTCCGCTACGGGAAAGGCCACAACAGTGAGAGGCCCACATACTGTGAAAAAAAAAAAACCCCACAAGGAGACATCACGTCACACAGGTCACAATGGCCACCATCCAAAAGACAAGAAAGAACAAATGCTGGTGAGGATGTGGAGGAAAGGAAACCCTTGTGCACTGCTGGTGGGAATGTAAATTGGTATAGCCACTATGGAAAATAGTATGGAGGTTCCTAAAAATATTAAAAATAAAACTACCATATGATCCATCAATCCCATTTCTGGGTATATATCCAAAGGAAATTAAACTGCTATGTCAGGGCAATATCTGCACCCTCATGTTCATGCAGCATTATTTACAATTTCCAAGATATGTTAATAACCTAAGTGTCCATCAATGCATGATTGGATAAAGATGTGGTATATATACAATGGAATACCATACAGCCATAAAAAAGAAGGAAATCCTGCCACTTGCGACAACATGGATGGACTTTATGAGCAGTATAAATGAAATAAGTCAGAAAGAGAGACAAGCACTACATGATCTCACTTACATGTGGAAGCTTAAAAGAAGAAAACAAAAAAACTAAAAACACCAAGCTCACAGAAAAAGATCAGATTTGTGGTTACTAGAAGCAGGGGATGTGGGACTTGAATGAAGGTCAAGAAGCACAAACTTCCATTTTTAAGATAAATAAGTACTGAGGATATGACATACAACATGATGACTATAGTTAACACTACTGGAAAGTATATTTGAAAGTTGCTAAGAGAGTAAATCCTAAAAGTTCTCATCACAAGGAAAATATCTTTTTCTTCCTCTTTTTTCTTTTATCTATATGAGATGATATATGTTAAGTAAATTTACTGTGGTAATCTTTCACAATATATGCATCAAGTCATTATGCTGTATACCTTAAACTTACACAGTGCTATACATCAATTACACCTCAACAAAACTGAAAGCAAAAAATAAATTAAACATAAAGTCCCCCCCCACCAAAAACACAGGAGAAATTCCCACCAAAAAAAGACACAGCATGGTAGACTCATTTTGGTCAGCTCAACCTCACCTACTCCTTTCTCCTCCTAAGAGATTCTCATTCTATTAAGTGGTATCCAGATCCGAGCTATGTTAATCAGAATCTATCCACAGAATTTTTAAAAATCAAGCTACAAAGCTCTTTTCCTTCTTTGATCAAAAAACATAAATATAAATGAGGAAGTACAGGTGACCACATTATCTGCCACATAATAAAAATCCGAGAAAAGAAAATCAGACCTGTCCTAAAGAAACAGTCATGAAAAGTAAAAAAGAAAAACTTCCAACAACATTCAAGTATCTGATTTCATTTGCATATAGTCTTCAGAGAAGGATGGTTCCAATGTTCCCAACATTTGGTTGTTAAGCTCTTCCTTTTTATGTGTGTAAGCTACTCAGTCCCTTATTCTGTCAATTTATATCCCTTTTTTGTTTAAGCTAGGTCAGGGTGGGTATTTGTTTGTGCTAAGGTATATATTCTTTATAATGAAGCATACTCAATTCCTAACAAACACATGCAAATTCCCATTTTATATTGTTTACATTTATTTACCAGAAATAAATGCAATTTTTCATTTATTTAGATTCCATTACATGAAACAGGATATAATTTCTTTCCACTTCCCATCTTTCTAAATACCCTTAGTTAAGCCACAGACTGCTGCTACTGCCAATCAACACCTGCTGGAAGGATTTTATGTAGGTAGAAATAATCACTGTTTTCTCCTCCAAACCCCATATGTGAAGAAGGGAAGATTCACTAGAAGAAAAAATAACCAATGTAATTGTTCCCTATTAAAATGAAATTGTACTTTCTCATGATCTTAACATTTAGCTTTTGTTAATACAAACTGGCCATTGCAGGTAAGTTGTATTATAAGGAATTTGTTCTTTCTTTGAATTGAAAAAGGGGAACCTGTTAGAAGTGGTAGCTTGCAGATGTTTCTTATTGAATAAAACTGGATGGACTGAGTAATCCTACCCTATTATTTTTAAACATTTCTAGATCTTTTTCAATGCAACTGACAGAGCACCATTTAAAACAAAATTTTTTAAAGTTCAGGGGCCACTTACTGCTTCCAGTTGTTTCTTCTTCTGCACTAGTAACTCCAACATGAGGTTGACATTGGCCAAATCAAGATTATCTTGGTCTGTCCCCAACAAATCCTGAAATATTTGCCACCTGTGGCCATTCTAAAAACAAAGAAAAGAAGAAACACAACAACTTCCTAAGACAATTGTTTTAGAGAGTCAAAAATAAATGTTTGCTACCTCCTAATATGCTTATTAGATAACATACCAAAAATAAACTATGACATTCCAACCTATTCCTTCCCAGCTAGTGGCTCCCCAATGCCTTCTAATTATAATTTAAGCACTATTTCTCCCCTAAATAAATTTAAACAATGGATATGAAAGGCATATTTAAGACATGTTAAGTCAGCATCTCTAAAGGTATAATTCTCTTCAAAATAAGTGCCTGGATTTTAATTACTTGTCTAACCATATTTGCAACTTTGTATTGGGTAAGGTATTAATTTAAGCTCATTTGCTTCAATAATTTGGGCTAATCCTCTTAAACTGAGAGTCTTTTTTTTCAAATTACCACCCATAGTTTCACCCTGCCATATAATTCTTCAAATGTAATGTATTACAAGCCAACTCTGACTCTATGTAATCTCACCAGACCTTTCAAAAGATAAGAGTAAATTTTAGACAATGCAGGTAAGAAAGTTCTTTATTAAATAGAATAATCTTAAATCTCCTTTAAGAAAAATCTATAATATGCTAAGCTTTAATACCTAATTAATATTAAACCAATAAAAACAGCAAATTGAGATTTATTAAAAATAGTAATAAGAGTTGAAACATACGGTGCTACTCACTGAGTGGTCCAATTTGAACCTCTTTTCCTCAAATCTTTGCTTCTGTTTGAGAATGAGCTCATTCACTGAAAACAGAAACAAAACAAAAAGCACACAAAATCTATATTTTTATTAAATGTATCGTCCAATTGTTCTGTTTAGATGGATTCTATTTAACTTTAAAAAGTCCCAAACCTTAAAAAATGCTAAGCAGAAAATGCTAAGTTTTTATTTTATTTCAAATTAGAAACAGTTTTGCCGCAGCTACTACTACTACAACTACTATTATTACCACTACTATTACTACAAGAGGAGAATTCTTCAGAATATGTACTTTCTCTTACATGTCTCAATGATGACACTATCAGCACTTGGAGAAAGACAAGTCTTCACTGTATGAGATCGTCCCATGCTCTACAGGGTAACTGGCCGATTCTATGAGGTAGGCACTAAAGATTTTTATTTGTTGCTCTTTCTGTTTGTGACTTTTCCATAAATATCATGGCAAACACTGTCAGTTACCTATTCATAAACCATTCTAACCTTTTTTAAAAATAAGAATAGGATTTTTTTCCAAATGTCAGAATGCCAACTGTCACATACTTTCAGAGAGGCTAGATCCTTCACTGGCCCCATGGTATGAATCTTGACTAACCTAAGCCAATCTAGTCATACACTCTTGCCAGCAATTGATGGAGGGTTAACTATGTGACCTAATTTTGACCAACGAAGGGTATGCTGTCTTTCAGAAGAGAAGGATAGAAGAAAACAAGTTATTTTTCTCCCTTCATTAAGGGATGATATCTGGAACTGCTTAAAGCCATCTTGCAATCTTGAGGGGAGCTAGCCAAAGAACCAACACATCTGCTGGAGACGGAAGGCCAGAAAGATGAAAAGAACTTGATAATATCACTGAGATACCAACTTAACTAACTCTAAAAATTCTTTTTGTATAAATCAATACATTTTCCTTAATGTTCAAGCCACTTTTAATTGGATTCTTTTGTTTTTAACATCTAACTGATAAAAAAAAAATAAACTGATAAAGAAAAGGACAACTAGCACTAAGCTTGTCACCTTATTAGCCTTTAATTTCTAGACATTATCCTATGGGTTATTCTTCACATTTTAGAGATGAGGAAATATTAGAAAGAGCATAAGGAAGTTACTCATGGTGACATACAATACAAGACAGAGCTGGGAAACAAACCCAACTATCTAATACTTCCCACTATACCACAATCTACTACAAACATTTTCGAACAAATCAGAGAGGTTCCAGGGCCACACTAAGAGCCAAGCTTTAAAGATTAAGTAAGACTCAACCTAAGTAAGACTTAATCCAAGACTCAAGCAATTCAGAGTAGGAAGACAAATATATGTGATGCAGCAGTTATAATATGATAATCAGTACTATCATTGAAATAGATTTTAAAAGAACAAAGGACAAGGATCAATTAAAATATTAACAAGCAGGCTTCACACAGAAGCTGACATTAGAACTGGGCCATAACAGGCACACAGGGACTTACTAAACAGGAAGAAAAGAGGAAAAGAACTCACATTAAGGGTGTGTGGGGGGAATTCCCTGGCAGTCCAGTGGTTAAGACTCAGCGCTTTCACTGCCATGGGCCTGGGTTCAACCCCTGGTCAAGGAACTAAGATTCCGCGGCCAAAAAAATGGTGTGTGTGTGGAGGGGGTAAAGTCATAAAATAGCAGGATATAAGATGATTTAAAATCAATATAGCTGAAACACAGGATCAGAGTGATTTTTTCAACTATTAACAGGGACTAAGAACTAAGGCTGGAACTGTAGACAGATCAGAGCCTGATTCTGAAGAGCCTGTTATCTCACAAGCAGTTATTATTATAATCCAGGGAAGATAAAGGAGAGAACTTGAAATAATGTAGTGGGAATAAAGAGGAGTATGTGAATAAGAATTTAATGCTTCAGTTACAGAATTAGCTATTTAAATAAAAACTGTAACTTAAATAATTGTAATACTTAAATATGTACACCACATTGGATTTTACCAAGAAATCTCATATACCACTGAACATGAATATTCTATATCCATAATTATAATTCTCTGGATCCTTATAATAGCCATAGTACTAAGAACAAACAATGCCTTTCTACTGCTAAAGCTTTCATTCTAGCAATTGTCTTTTCAGAGGCAGGATAGTATAGTAAAAGCACATACTCAAGCCAGACTGCTTAGGACCAAATCCCAATTCCACCACTTACTGGCTGTAGAACTTTACACAAGTTACTTGACTTCTCTGTGCTTTAGTTTCCTTGCTGGAGGAATGAGGATGACAACAATTACCTATGTCATAGGACTGAGAATTAAATGAGTCAACATACATAAAGCACCTAGGAAAGCACTTGGCAGTAGTAAAGACGTTATGTTAGCTGCCTACATTTTTTTAAACAAGGATTTTAAATTTTGCATGTATGCTACCTTTTACATTAAAGAATAAGAGGGTCATTCATTAGAGAGATAAAAATATTCAATTTACAAATTTTAGACACAGAGAAAGCTAGAAAAGAGATTGCTGGGGGGTGGGGGGCAGGGGTTGGTAGCTGGAGAGAGATCATGCATCATGGAAGGACTGGGAGAGCTAAGCCTTGGCAAGAGTGTAGGAGAGCAACTGCAGAGGTGGGAGGAGAGACACCCCCTCACCCCACATGAGCCTTCCAGGATCAGGAGAGAGAAAGAGAGCTCTCAAGACCAAGGGGATAGAAAGGTGAAGAGTGAGAGTGTGTCTTTTTTTTTGAGGGGGTAGGGGGGTAGAGGAAGAAGAAAAACGAGGGACTGTACTGTAGTGCTTAGGGCATGAAAGGAAAAATCAAAATATCTGTCTTGACAAAAAAAGCGCATGACTCTAACGACCAGAAAACCTAATCCTACTTGAGTGTTTAGCTTCCAATTCTTTGCTTTCATTAAAATTGAAGAAAGGAGTGGACTTGTTAACTAATAGGGTATTAAAAAAATTTTTTTGACTAAGTAAGTGCTTTTATTGAAGCACATAATTCAGAAGGAGATCAAAGAACTAAATGACGTAGCAGGAACAAAGTTCCTTCAATCCCCATCAAATTATTTATGTAAGCAAAGTTTCTCATGACTTACCCTTTCAAAAATAAAAAGGAAAAATCTTAAACTTACACAATATTATATGTCAGTTATATCTCAATTTTTTTAAAAGCTGTGATGATCCTAAATAAATAAAAAGAATACAAATGAAACTGAGTTCTTGTCCTAGTAATAACTATAAATGACAATGGAACTAATTGAGGACACCATCACACATTAAACAGCCGATTTTCAATAAATTTTTATGTCTAATACTTTATAAAATTTGTAAATATTTATTTGATCAATTGCATGTCTAATAATTACAATAACAACTCAGATAAAGCATTTAAGATTTTTAAAATACTTAACATAAAATTATGTTCAAAAGAAACTTCAAGGTCTATAAGTTCTATTTTCTGTTACAGAAAAGTATGACAGATAAATCAATAAGAATTTCAAGCATGAAATATATAAGGATAAAATTATGTGAGCAATATGCAATTTAAGTATAAGTTCAAAGAGACAAAGAATGAAATTTCCCATTGTTAATGAAAAGCATTTAGTTTTGAATCAATGATAAGTATCAAATCACTATACTATTCAGATTCTACTGGATACATTTTAAAAAGAGATAAAAGCTTATTCTTAAATGACCATATTTACAATACTCCTAAAGTTATATCCTTTACAAACACTTAAACTTATAAAGAAAAAATGTGGATGCTCATTTAAAATGTGGCATCAATGCGGGACGAAGTACATCATTTTTCAGAATTTTTATATGGGTCACCCAAGCAAAAAGGTTTGAAGACCATTGCTACAGAAAATAGGTAGCCCAGCCCTCTATCCATAACTAAGGTAAACGTAAAGCATTAAAAGTGAAGGGTCCTAACCTAGCAATAAAAAAGGTGCAAGTCTACCTAGAACACTTCAGAATCATAGAACTTATACTTATTTTACCATGCTCAAGAAGAAATCTGAAATTACTTTTAAAAGGCTCAAGGTCTTTCTAATCCAACCAAGAACTACAGGCACTATACAAATCATGTAAATCAGACTAAAGCAATGGGAATAGTTTTTTCAGTACAGAAAAAACAAATGATATTCCACTTTCAGAAACAGATCTCAGTAGCATCCTGAGTGCATGGGAACCGAAGGATTTGACCATCACTGTACAAAGGTAAAGACTGGAAAGGGTGATGGGCAGTAAAATAGAAATAGATATATCAGGATGAAATGTTATTTCTATGGCTGACATAAATAATCACACTGGAAGCTGCACTATAATTAAAAGACTTCAAATACGGGCATAAAACACACTCCAATTACCCAAAACCAAAAACTTTTAACCATATAAAGAGAAAGTTAAAAACACTTCTCTGGTGGTCCAGCTGTTAAGACTCCGCGCTCCCAATGCAGGGGGCCTGGGTTCAATCCCTGGTCAGGGAACTAGATACCACATGCCGCAACTAAGAGGCCACATGTCGCAACAAAGATCCCGTGTGCGGCAGTGACGATCCCTTGTGCCACAGCTAAGATCTGGCGCAGCCAAATAAATAAATAAATTTTTTTTAAAAAAACTGTATCATTGCCAAGATAATTTCTAGCTTAGGAAATCAGTAATTATGACTTCACTATTCACTGAACATATACATTTGAGAATATATAAAGTATGAAATTACTTTACATCTTAGTGCTGTATTTTCATATTCCTTCCGTATCAGTATAATGGTGTTCTCCCTCTCTCTCTCTCTCTCTCTCTCT